GTTGTGATCAGAAGAGATAATGGTGATTACGCTGGAGTCCCAGAATATTCCCTATTATCCCACTATTAGTGGGTAGGGGCCCAGTCCAAATCCCTATCGCCCCTAAACCCTAAATACTAACTTCCCCAACCCAGACCCCGTCAACCCTAAACCCTAACCAAAGAATACGCCAAGGGCACGTCTTCCGTGTCCTCCTGCGGGGCAACCTGACTCGAAGCTGCAGGCGATACGCGGAGTTTGGTTTAAAGTTTGGGGTTGTGGAGTTGGGTGGCCCCAATGCCACTAAGTAAGGGTTATATAGGGGGAATATATAACAGCTTAGGGCTTATAGTGTCACCACCCCTCAAAGCAAGGAGTATATTGGGGACAATCCCCATGAGCAAGCACTGTATGGGGGATAATGTAGTGATTAAGTTTCATAGCAAGAGACTTTGGAAAACCAACCCCCTAAAGTTCGGATTGTATAGGGGGGAACTTGCGATGACGTGCATAGGTTTGTGGATCTTTTCGAACTGGATTTTGTTAACCCCAACCCGGAGTGTGGATTATACAAGTGGATAATGTAGGTACTATGTCGTCTTCGGGGTTTATAGTAATCGGCTTTTGGTTACCCCAATCCTTCAAATGAGAAAAGCATCCCTACTCACACCCTTTAAGATCTAGAATCAGCTAGTGCTCCAAATCCTTTAGGTTTTAGGGTCCAGCCGTAAAGCCTTGAAACTGACATCTGGAATTCTAACCCTCCACCCCATCAGAAAACAACCCCGGACACCCTTGAACCCTACAAAACCTACACCTCAACAAGTCTATCCCAAAAGTTCCAGCCTATATCGCTGGAACCCGGTTTAGGGGTTTAGGGCTCAGGCATAATCTAGCGTTTGGATCAGAGGGGTTGAAGTTTTAGGGTGTGGGGTGTAGCGTTGGGGCGGTCTATCGTACCATAGTTTTCTGAAACTCACAGAGGAATGCGGGTGATAATCTTTGAGTTTTCTACATCCCACACCATAAAACCTGAACCCGAAATCCTAAAACCTAAATCCTAAGTAAGCCCTAAATTCAAAACCCTAACCCCTAAACCCCAAACCCTAACGTCCAGTCTACACCCTAAATCCTAAACCCTAAATTCTAGATCCTAAAATCCTAAACCCTGAATCCTCAGCCCTTAACCACTGCATAATCCGTGTGTCCAGGTCACTGCCCATATTCTTGCCAATTAGATTCTTCTTGAGAGGGCCCTTCCCCAAACGCCGCCCATTGGAAGGAAGAATAGTGGGTAGATTTTCTGTAGGTACAGGATACACAAGCGATCTAGGGTTTAGGGTGTAGGGTAGAAGCACATGGGTAAGCATTCAGACTTCTGTATACCCTGTACACAAACCACATTAATCCCCACTATTTTCCATTTGCCAAGTCACCCCGGCCCTGAACCCTATTCAAACCATGTGATATCTTCCATCTGCTTTTCCAATGACCCACTTACTAATAACCCTTCAAGTAAGCCCTTAGCAATGCCGTATAGTCCCTTTAATGGCCGGCCTCTGTGATGTATATATAGACATGACATCTCCCCATAATCCGTTTCAACTGACCCTAGAATTACCACGACCGCCACTTTAAACGAAACCTATATATCCCTAGAAACCCCAAACATCCGCCCTGAATCCTAAACCCTACACCCTAAACCCTAAACTCTATACCCTAAGTCAGCCTAAGTCCTGATCCCTAACCCCTAAACCCTAAATCCTCAACCCTAAATCCTAATTCCTAAGCCCTGAATCCTAAATCCTAAACCCTAAACCCTAAATCCTAAACTTCAAATCCTAAACCCTAAATCCTAAATCCCAATTCCTAAGCCCTGAATCCTAAACGCTTCAGAGCCATTAGCAAGGCCGCCTCTCGGTTATGCTCCGCCTTAGGGCTCGGGGCGTCGCTGAGTGACAGAGATCCTGTGGAAGCCTTCCGGGCCTCAGAAAGGACTGCAGAATTAGGGCTTGTGGTGTAGGGCTTAGGGTGCAGGATTTAGGGAAAGGGTTTGGGGTTAGAGTTTGAAGTTCGGGGTTTATAGGGTTTAGGTTAGGATTTTGGATTCAGGGTTTAGGTTTTAGGGTTTCTAGGGTTTGGGGTTTTTGATTCCGAGTTGTTTTTGCCTCTGAAAGGTTAAGGCTTGAGGCTTCTGGCAATAGTGCTTAGGCTTTAGCAGCTGGGTGTTTAGGATCTCAGGTTTCAAGCTTTTGTCATTCAGGATAGTGGACTTTGCCCAAAACCCGAAACCCTTAGGACTCTGATGTCTTCCCTAAACTGTAAACCCGAACTCGCACAGGACCAAAGGTAAAATCTGGATGCCCTATGTCCCTGACCCTTACACTTAAGGGTTTAGGCTAAGGGTTAAGGGCTGTCTACTGTAAGCCTCAAACCCCAAACGCCTCACTCCAGAATGAGCCCAAACCGGAATGCTACAGCCCCAACCCCAAAATCGTTTACTCTGACGCCGCCCCGAGACCCTCGGATCCACAGCGCTACTGCAAATTATCTTAAACTCCGAGTACCCCAGGTCCACTCAATAGTGATTCCAACAAGCATCAAGCATTTTGCACATTTCTGTATGTATGTATGTATGTATGTATGTACGTACGTACGTACGTACGTACGTACGTACGTATGTATGTATGTACGTATGTATGTGTGTGTGTATGTATGTATGTATGTATGTATGTATGTATGTAT